CCCCCGAAAATCGAAATAACAAAATATCGCCATGATCCATCCTGATCCTGGAGTATGTCATTCCCCACATACGCCCCAAAAGTAACAGTCAATCTCTAATGGCCGTGTTTGATAGTATGCGATTCACTGCACTGCTATAGTCGTGCGATTACTTCTCGAAAGGCATGCTATACCTAATAATCCTAGTCAAGCGCGACCATAATTACCATACAGTTCACTAACACCAAGCTCCAGCGAGCCACACTTCCAAGTTCCAACCTGATCTACTTGTCAGTGCCCAGACCCACCAGTCTAGACCACAAGAGTAAGCAAAGAGAGCACTGAATCATATCAGCTAAATCATACTACGAAATAAATCCATGGCAAAACAGGCATGTAAACCAGTGACATTCTTGAGAGATCTCGGGCATCTAAGTAAGGTTATATCCCATGTCAACCCGTGTCAAACCAAGAACGTGCTCGCTATGCCAAGAATTAAATACCAGAGGACTACTATCAATAGACACACACATATGTGTCATGGAGCTATGAATGTTAGGTTTCATAAAAGGTTTATGATCTTCCCACACTGCACTCTAGATTCTCATATACATTCAAGCTTGACAATTCATTCGGATAGTATAGTACACTCAAAAGGGTATGAATCGACATACTAACTTATTCTAGTCAGTTTTGACTAAGTAGATAGAACAACCGCAAATCTCCGAGTAGTTTCCTTCCTTCCATACCGTATCAACATCAAACACCACTCTAACCCAATCGAGTCAAGTGTACTTAAACTTCAATACAAATGCGAAGTTAGTTAGATCATGCAGCCGGTGAAGGAATGAATCGACAACACCAATTTTTTCTCCCAGGCAGTACAGTAGTAAGAAGGACCCTCGAAGTTAATCAATCCTATTAATAACCCCAAGACAATCAATCATATACTGGATTTTCTTCTCCCGATATACCTACCCAGTAGTCACATACCTAGGTAGCTGGAAAGCAATACTACCCTGGGGACACATCCATCTATAATAAATCCCATTAATAGGCCGGGAACGGAGTAAAATGCAGGGGCATTCCATACCAACCAACCCAACAAGGTACGGAGTTTATTGATGGATTGATCTCCTTCTTTTCCTTTCCCCAATAAGCCAGCCAGCCAGCCAGCCAGCCAGTCAAATCTAAGCCATTCATCCATCCATCTACCCATACGGAATTACAATAATGTCCTTTATCCCATGCATGATCCCGCAGCAGCAGCCACACCGTCCTTCTTCAACGAGGAACAAATACCATCTATCCAGCGCCCTCGGAATCATTGAATATACTACCCAATCACAATACCGATTAATCACTTTACACAACACAAACCTACTTATGCCACAAGTACTAACTACAATAGTCACATTCCTCTAAGTACGTAAGCGGAAGCCAACCAACCTAACCTACTTAACCTCGGATACGCCCGGCGCAACCGGGCATTTTATGCAAACCAACCAATCTCAATAATGGTAACCAACTACCTACTTACTAACTAACAAATTATCGCTTAGCAAGTGCCCAGCCCCGGGCAGCGGTTCACACAACGATTAGGGCTGAGACGCGCGCGCGCGAGACAACAATAACTAGTCTACTTAGTTATCTGTTTTTGGTCCCGTGGAAGGGCTATTAATTTTTTCTTTTTTCGGAATTCCTCGGAGGGTCTAAAGTACAATGAATGGATCCGAGCCGAAACAATCATCGACAACCATAGGCCGAGATATTTCCTGTTTCCGACGGCGGCGGAGAGTCTTGCATGGTTTTGGTTGCGTTGACGAGGAACACTAGTTGGGTTTGTGTTAGTTGCGCTAAATGTCTTAGTGCTTCCGTTCCGTCCGTCCGTCCGTGTGCCGGGGTGTCACGTGTGATTATGCTGGATTGGGGTGGCTTTTCTATAAGTTATTGTTTATTATATTGAATTGTCTTATATGTGAATGAGTGTAGTTGCATATTATGCTTATATTATAGTTTGATCATATTTGTCGGCCATAAATCATAAATCGTCTTCTACCAATGTCGGACACTAACCAGGACTTGTTCTCTCGGATCCAATTGGATGGATGACTGCTGTCCTGTCACTAATCCTAGACGCGTGAGGATCTGCCATACTAGCTTGCGCTTCAGGTTCTCTCGGACGGGGATCTTCTCGAGCGCGTCATACCCGTTGAAGTATTTGATAAAGGTTGGCCAGTACTTCTTGAGCGATGTTCGAAGTCCCGCGTATTCAAGGTCCCCATCGGGGACATCGCCTTGAAGTTCGGGGAATCGGGCCATGATCTCGCCTAACCATCGGGACTCCAGTGGTGATGCACGGTGCGGGTACAGAATGAGCGATGATGTCTTCAAGGACGTGTTTTGGTCCAGGAGGGAATGGGAGAGGTCGAGCTCGTTGTTCCGTTTGTACCGACCTGGCATGGGCGTTTCATCACCGCTTCCGTTGCTGTCTAGTGATGATGACGAAGAGGAACTGGCATCATCAAGGTCCTCCTTTGTCTCGGTATCTGACGCTGATCCCCTTTTGCTCAGATATTTGTCAACTTCTTCTTGTCGAAGAGCTGTCTCCACAGCCATCTTGATTTCAGGGCTTATTTTGACTCTTGCAAAGGCCCGCAATTGAGTGACCCAGCCACCTCGTAATAGCCACGCTAAAATGGCGAAGTATGTGTCTTTATGGTCTTTGCTTGGGATGAAGCTTCCGTACGGTCTGGGCGTTCCGCTCATCGCTGATAGCATCTTTGGGAGACTCGGGAGGGTCGGGAATGCTGCTTGATAAGCTGCCGTGGCTACCTCAAGCTTGCTCAGATCGCAGTTTGGTGATACGACATAAGTGTCCCTTTGATGAAGCGGAGGGATTGCTCGCGCTCTTCTCCAATACACAAGATGGCTAGCCAGCATTTGGATTGTGGAAAGTGGTATGCCAGAGGACACAGATATCTGCGCAAATGACTTCGTCGGCTTCGAGCATCGGATATAATGGGCAAGCGCAGGAGCCAGAGCACCCCCGGATGCTTCAACGTCTTTAAGAATTGATGCCTCATTGTCCAGCAATAAGAGCGCGAAATGTTTAGCAAGCACTTGATGGGGGGCGGTGTTCTCGTCCGCAGTGGGATCATCGACCGGAGTGACACTGTCCGCCGTTGTAAGCCAGAGACCCGGATATGCCTTGTCAGTGGGCCCAGGAAGCCATGGCGTCGAAGTTAGAGGTGGTATCTGGAGCGAGATGGATACGTCTGGACTCAGGGACACCGACGCAATCTTTGATGCCGATATGCTGGTGAACACAGTGCAGATAGCCCTCGCAAGTGAGGACTGGCTGATGAGCTCCGAATAGAGGCTATTCACGGACATTCCTGCTCGTCACTCGGTCAGCAACCAAATTCTCTCCACATCGACAGGACCACATACGCTTCTCTTTAGCCTTCTCCTTGATATGTGAGATATGCTGCGCCTCCTTCCAAACATAATCCGTCCTAGCCTGCTCCCACTTCAGCGCCTTGGAGAACTTCTTAATAATATTATCGTAAATCTCCCTCAACCGCATGGAATACTCCAACAACGGCGGATCCAAAACAAACACGACATTAAACATAGTCATGCAATCCTTATCATCCGGATCCAGCGCCTCACTCAACGTCCTGAACGACCTAACACTAATCATCGAGGTCCGCTGATAATCCGTACTAGCCATCTGCTTCGGACTCAACGTCTCCGTCGAAGCAGCAATAAGATCCGTACCCCGATCAGGGCTATCATCCTCAGCCTCGGCCTCATCACCCCCATCTCCATCCCCAGGAGCCTCATTATGTCCTAGTTCAGCTCCCTCCCAAGTCGCACGAGGCTTCCTTTTCTTCCTCCTCTGCTTCCTCCACGTGCCATCCTCACGCACAAAAACCGGCCACCCCACAAACGCCAAATCATTGATCCCGACCTCAAACCGCCGCTTATGCCACGACCGCGACGGACTCAACAACTTCTCCCAGACATCCGCAGGGAGCCCCAATAATGACTCCCAGGGGGGCCGAAACGGCCCGGCCTCATCCTCCTGTCTATCCGACGCAGCGCCCGCATCCTCCTCCGCATCGGAATTCGTCCCTCGTTTCCGCATCATCAGCCCCCTCCCGGACCCTACTGAGCCTGCACGCTGGGACTCTCCACCCGGCGAGCCGGATATAACTCCATCGTCGACAACACCGAAGTTACTCGACCGTCTTCCTGCCACGGGATGACTGCCTGCGATGTGCGAGGCGTTCTGGGTGGAATTGGCTGGCTGCGTCGCAGTCCCTGTGGTTGTGGTAGCTGCTGCAGCAGTTGCAGTTATTGGTGTCTCGTCTTCATCTTCGCTAGAGGTGGAGCTGCTGTCTTCGCTGGAGCTGGAATCGTTGCTCTTGGAATTCTTCCGTGACGGTCGTCGCGCCTTGGGCGCCCCTCGGAGTCCGTTCTCGCTAAGCGGGTTGGGTGGGTAGTGGAAGACGAAGCGCGGACCGGCTCGTGAGCGCACTATTAGGATGATTGCTACCAGGCAAGGGTCTGGTGGCCGTGCAATGGACGACATCGGTCGTGGGTGGGTGTTGGGAGTTGGATTGCTGGGAGCAATTGGGTGACTTCGATGGGACGGGCGGAGAGTGATTTGATCGTTTTGGGGTTGGTGTTCTGGCGGGTCGGCTTCCCCGCATGACATTGCATGGTTACGTTTGTTACTTCGACGTTATGGAGTAGGCAATGTGTCAAGAATTATACCTATATTTCTTTCTCAACTTATATCTAGGTAGACTTGAAATAAATGCACATCAAAGTTAGGTATGATACACAAGCTATATACAGAACCGCAATCCCAACGCCGGAAATGGAGAAGTATCTATCCATCCATCATCAATCGTCGAACACAAAATACCCTATTTATACAGAGGCCATGCCCTCCCACAATATCATACAGCTCCCCAAGATATCTAGCATATAAGTCCGGCAGGAGAAAACTACGCCTTCTTCTCCGCACCCTCAGCACCCCCACTCGGTGTAGCCTTATCCTTCTCGAAAACCAACCCGAGGTTCTTGAAGTCGTCCGGTGCCATAAGATTGCTAGAGGCGAATCGCAAGTAATTAGCCATGACTCCTTGGATAGCGTACATGCAGAGCAGGAACATACTGGTCCATCCGACAAGACAGATACGACTTGGCCAGTTTCCGACACTCGTCGTCGTTCACACCTCGTCTTGATTTCAGGCACTTGAGGTAGTCGGTGATGAGGTGCTTGCATTCGCCTGTTCCAGCAGTAAAAGAGTGATATGTCAGTTATATGTCTGTGTCGAACGGGTAGATACTAGAGAAAGGGTTCGCGCAGGGCTCAATGCTGCCGACGAGGCGGGATAGGCTGGTTTGCAGAGTGGGTGCGAATCAAGGGAGGTGTACCATCGTGATCAAGAGGGAAGCTGCCACGCTCGGGACTAACTCATTGGAAGATTGTTAGCTCAGTCTGTTTCTTCCGGGACTGTTCACTGTCTATAGGCATATTCCAAAGCCGGGAAGGGTATAACTCACGGCGTAGGCTTCATGGGGGCGGCACCGCCACCGGGAGCTCCGAAACCCATGATGACAGAATTGTATGTATATCTCGAAGCTGAGCAATTAACTGATAATGACTGAGTAATTGACTGGCTCAATATGTTGTCCTCTGTATCTGACAAATGCTGGACTCGATAGTTGCTGAAAAACGGCACGGCGAGCGGTCCGATAAGAACAAACAAGACAATCGTGACAAACATGTAGACAAACAGAGCAAACATCTGCTGATGTATGAAGTGTCATGCAACGAGACAGCGCAGAGATAATGAGCTCGTGACGCTAAACTCTCTATAGTACTGTGCCAGTATATTCTGTTATGTACCAACTATGTCCTCATTCTATACCATTATGGAAGTTTCTCTAGTTGTACTGGAATAGCAAAATGCGGGGTACCCAACCGCAAAACGATGCAACAACAACATGCGGAGGTGAAAAATGACAGACCAATAAATAAAGAGTAAGCGACGATAGCTGCATAGTATCCAGTGCTATCCGAGCGTCGCGGCGAATCCAAGTTTGCATGTGCGGAGTCATTGACCCAGCCCCTCTTGGATCCAGACAATCCGAGTTTGCATGATAGGTCTCTTATATACCAATGACGTTGTTGCATCCGAGGCCGTTCCGGACACGGTCCTGGTATATAAGTAGATAGTCGCAATCCTTTGTCCTGTCGAACAAGATTCGATTACTATCAGTAGTTAAAAGTCACGCTTCGCACTTGACAATACTATACTATTCTCCCGAATACGTACTTGACCACTTTACCAATATGCCGATGTAGGTCCCCGCTATACTGATGAACTCTCGTGTACACGACACAGACTTGATACGAGCAGTATTTGTCGAATAGATACTAACAAAGAACAACAGGAAACTTGAAGGCAGCTGCCAGTGTGGCAGCGTTGAGTTCACCCTCGAATCCTCAACCCCAGTTCCCTATCAACTATGCGCCTGTAGCATCTGCCGGAAGGTCGGCGGATACAGTGGCAGTGTCAATCTGGGCGGTATTGCCGATAGCCTGAAGATCAAGAAGGGAAAGGACTTGATCAAGTATGTCATGCCAGTCTTCTTTTCGAGCCCGCGGTCTTTTGCCGGCCTCACAATATTCTTTATGACTGTTGGAGATGGCAGCTCAGAGCTGACCGGTTTAGGAAATATTCCGCCGTCATGGCGAGAGGCACACCGGATGAGAAGATCTGTGCGTCGGAGCGGAATTTCTGTTCCAATTGCAGCACCATGCTTTGGCTGTGGGATCACCATTGGCCGGAGCTCATTCATCCTTTTGCTTCGGCCATTGATACGGAACTGCCGGTCCCTGATGAGATGGTCTGCATCATGGAGAGCTCTAAGCCGGCTTGGGTGCGATGGCCCGAAGGGAAGAAGCAGGTATTTGATGGTTACCCAGAGCATAGCTTGGAAGACTGGCACAAGAAGCACAAATTGTTCTTCGAATAGATGGGACGCTTTAGGTGACGATGATACGAAGTTTTACGAGATGTGGACTATGTTTTACAAAAAAGTGGAAGCATTGTTTGGAGATTTGAACTCATTATCATTATCATTATCATTAAAGTAGCTATCCATAGGCGAGTGACCTGCACAATGCAATGTTAGCAGCTGTATAAACAGACACTGATGCATAAATGTGTATGGGTGAGAAGTTCAGGTCTCCAAGGTGAATCTTTGTTGTTTCGTCAAGGTTGTTCGGTAAGAACACAGCGATTTAAGAATTCATCATGCAATAATGAAGAAAACACGACAGGGAATACTCACACTTTGGAAGCTTCATAGAAGATCTACAAGATGTTCCCTATTACTTTTCGACAATGTTAGCATCACATGCAAGACATAGCATGAGTGAAACCAGCATTGATATGTCAACGAAGTCAGGCTATGAAACAGGTTAGCACAAGCCCATTGGCATCAGGGGTATGGTCACTACCAACCTCATTAAATCAGATTTTTTTGTAACATGTTCATTTCCGAACACATGGCGTGCAGGATCAAACAGTGTGAATAACAAGATTCATCATGTAATGTTGACTTTGGGTATGTGTGCATATGGAAAGGGTGTTTAAGAATGACAGTACCTGTCATGACTTGTTAGTATGACTTGGATCGACATTTTCTGGTAATCGCAGAACGATCGATGAAAGCTCAGGTGACGAGTTCTCAACAATGTGTACACTTCCCCAACACCCGCAAAGTTTGTACGCTTCGCTTTTGATGGATGCGGGTCAATGCACACGTTCTGTCCGCCCGTTCGTTCAAAGTATCTTCATCGACGGCCAACAATGGCATAGAGATGGAATGGTTGGTATTTACCTATCACCAGCAAGTTAGCAATGGTCACAAACAGGCTGAGTGAAGCAATCAAATTATTTTGGAGTTGTCAGACAAGGCTGAAACTTGAGTTAAAACACGAATTCCACATAGTGATTAAGTTTGAGGAATGCCTTAAAGCGTGTCATAGGGTCATCATACAAGGGCAGGAAGAACATATAGAAGAACGTTGTGCTCGCATACCTTTTAGAATATTTAATCGTACATCATGTTGCCAGAAGATGTTCGTCATCATTAGACCATCTATAGTAGCAAAATGTCAGCAAGAGTTCAATGCAAACACGAAGCCGCAGGCAATGATGGTTTCTTTGGTATCAGAGTAATTCTAGAGACTTTTGGAAGGTCCTTCATGCATTTTCGGCCGTGGATACTCCTGTTAAGGAATTCATCCTGATATGGTAGGGATGTATAACTGAGGGAGTAAAATTCGTGAACTCACATCTTCATTGACAGGGCATGCTCAAATACAATCAATTATCATTGACTGTATTGAGCATGCCAGTAAACCAACTTGAGCAAGTTGGGTTGTCGACTAGTGCATCTTGTTGATGCGGTTGCAAGCTTGGGCAAGTTGAGAAAAAAATTATTGTGGGTTGCGCCGCGGTTTTATAGGTGGGCAGTTAACACCACGGCTAGCGAGTATCACCAAGAGCGTTGTTTGACCGGAAAACAAACACTTTAGTGTCGAGGACCCACCCAACTAGTACCATTACTGCTACATCTCTTACTGTCTAGAAAATGCGCATCTACAAGCTTTCAAAGGCCATAAGAGTTGCCAGAGTTGAACCAATCAGTCATTATTCGAAATTAACTAGGTCGCCGGATGATGGATTGCTCGATCCCGCAGGGCAATGCCTCATGAAGTCTACGCTTTCCTACTTCAAACGCGCTGGTTCTAGCTCAATAGTCCTAGTCTCGTCGCTGAAAAGGCTAGGGATTGGGACTTTCCAATCGATAGACTTGTACAAAACTTGGAGATTTACTCATGGGCTGGGTATCAGCTTCAGCCTCTTTTCCAAGCTGATTATATTACCTAAACACTTCAATGGACCCCTTAGCAATTATTCTCCTTATCACTATTTACTGTCACCAAACAGCAATGATTGAGCTGGTCTTCCAGATCATTAAGACCAAGATGATGGGATAGTAGCACGTCAAAGTTTTGAACCATTACATTTCTGTCGCCGTTGATGCTTAATCCCCAACTAGATACACCGAAGTCTACCCAGAGGTGATGAGAGGCCTGCTTCAGATGGCAATTAGTCGGATATCTATCAAGTCCGTCAATTGAATACTAACGAAACATACCGCATTGCTGATGTTTTCAGTGCTCTTTCTTTCTACCTGACTCGTGGGAGGGCTTCGTGATGATGTGATGCTTTATATGCAATGCATGCTTCATTCTTACACTCACCTACAGTGTCTAGACCGCGATTGATCGCACGTATCCCCTTCTACAAAGTACCTGCATGCAAAAGACCGTGCCAAAGGTGGAGTTATAGAGAGGTTGGCAAGATTGCCAAAGCGGAAATGGCGAAAGTCCTGCAGATGATACCACAAGACAGATCGGGCTCAGGGACCTAGCGAAAACTGGAAACCGTCTTGAGCTAACAGAAGAGAAGGATTGAGGCGAAGGACGGTCAGTAAAGCATCCTGCATAGCTCAATAACTCACTCCTAGGACCGACCATCCATGGATTGTTGTCATGCCTACTAAGCCTCATGGTTGATGCCCCGGAGCGGACGCCACGGCAACCTACCCACTGATTTGCAGTTTTCAATCATTCCACTATGATCGTTTTGCTCTACTTCAAAGAGAATAGAAAGCTGTCAAAGTTTTCATGGGCCTGTCCCACGAGCATATATACCCAATGGATTTCGGCCATCGTGGCTCACAAAGAGTGGGATGTTGGCCATAGTTTCAAACTTCGAAGGAAAACATCGTATGGCAACAGGTAGTACACCGAGAGACCGTCTTAGTAAGTTTCTGCAGCTATCTAGTACTTACCCAACGCTTTGCCTGTCTGGATTTGCTGTGTACAGAGCGACCCAACATCAGGATATATTGACTAGACCCACAGTGGAGGATTGGTACCTGCTTGGTAACACAATGAGGTAACCCCTCGAGCACGCCTTTAGCGCAAAGTATGTCGGGCTTCGAATCGTCCAGAAACGCTCGAATAATGCACCCTCATTGCGATTTGTTGCAACATTAACTGTGTAAGCTCCCTGAGGGCCAGTCTGGATCGGAGCTTTAGTGGGTCCGTCTCAAAACGTCATCGGCCCTCTCCCGACAGAAACCCAAAGTTCTATCTGCGTCAATTTGACGTCGATCCATGTTTATGATGCTGCATTCACCAGGATTTTGTAATGCCATTATGCGCTGGGAGATGGCCATAAAAGGGGCCTTCTTCCCGGCCAGCCATTGTTCACCAGCACATAATACCAATACCCATTGACTCAACCATACTTCAATTGACGCATACTACTCAAAATGACGACCACATTCAAGCTCAACACCGGCGCTCAAATCCCCGCCGTTGGTTTTGGAACCTGGCAAGACGCAGAGGCACAGGAGCAAGCTGTCCTTGAAGCCATCAAGGCGGGCTACCGCCACATTGACACTGCTAGAATGTGAGTTCTCATGCTCAATTCATCGAATTAATCGGTACGCTGATATAATT